GGTTTGCAGAGAAAGTCAATGCATTTTCTCATTCATACAAATAGTGTGACACTTGTATGAGATTTCAGCACAAGTTTACGGAATATTCTGTTATAAACACTATGTTTCACTGAATTCAACAATTTTTTAAATTCTTTGTTTGCTTAATTAACATATAAATGATTCATTTAACAAATACTATCGTAATGATAACTTCAGATATAATGTTTTAAAATTATTAAGTTCTATATTTTCACTATTTATAGACAATTTATAGTTTTAGAAATGTTAGTAAATGTTTCAAATGAAAGATTTATTTCCAAACTATAACTTATGCTTTATAAATGCAATACTGGTATTGAATTAATCATGGTGGTGATGAATTAAATGTATCATAATAATTCAGAATAAAAAATTTATGTTATTTTTATTAGGTTTTCTCACAAATAATAATGAAATAAATTATTTTAAACTTCATAACTATTTAATGTTATAAATATTTTTATAAATTAGTGAAATACAAATATACATTTCAATTAAAATTAAGTATTCATTCATTAAATACTTTTACATTTCAATTGTGGTTTAGTATACCTGTTATGAATACCGGGAAGAATTGTATGGAAAGTATGACTAAAAGCATACAAATTGAGATCGGAGTTATCATTTCAATCAATCTCTTGGACTCATTGCGAATCAATTGAATATATATCTTCTTCTTCTTGGATTCCCATAATAACTGTCTTTTCCTCTCATCCTTTTCTTTACCATCCCTTTCCATATTATTATTAATCTTGTCATCACTTGTGGTAACATTATTTCCATCACTTTCTATACTCTTCTTATCATCACTTTTAGCATTGGATCCGTTGGTTGTGTTCACAACAGTATTATTCAAACGTTTCTTTCCATTCGTTTCGGTCAACACTTCCGGAGAAGAGATCTTATCGTTTGTTAAACTATTAGACATTTTGTCAGTTCTTTAGTTATTTGTAAAATTGATATTAATATCTAAATAAAATCACTGCACAGTTGCAGTCAAAGGTTTGCAACTGAATTAGACATAAAAGTTATAGTATTTCTAATTTGAAAATATTTTCTAAAATTGAATTTTACAATAATATTATAGTTTGCAATTCGCGTTATAAATTGTTTGAATTGGATTTTAAAAATATATCTCTCATTCAAATTATAATTAGAGCAGAATTTTGTCGAAATGTTTGCCATTATATTCATATCGCTAATGATTTTGTCATTGAATGGCATTTATGGCACCGAAACGACTGCTAACACGACGGCAAGCGATACAGAAATCAATGAATGTTTGGACAAAACTGAGGGCGACTTTAAAGAGTGCGTGAATAAAGTGTCGGTGCGATGGAAATGTGTGATCGGATTCACGAATAGCGAAATGAACTGCAAAACCATAGACAAGGAGTGCTGTGCGATGTGGGATACGTACGACTGCTTTAAGGCCAGTGTCACCTCCCGGTGCCCGACACTCACCGCTAAACACATCAGTCAAGACATGTTCGACACTGAGATCCGGCGGGAAGAGAGCGAACGGTGTCCTCAATTGAAGTATAAGTCGGTTGAGTGTAAAAACCTTCTCCAAGAGGTGACTGTTAGGAGCGCTGGTGTCGAGACCGGGGATCCCGAAGATGTGGACAGAGATGTGCCAAAGACTGAGACAAACATTGATTCCAAGCATTCAAATGTTGATAATTCAAAGGACACCACCAAATCAAATACTTGTGGCAAACAAACCAATCAATTATTGCTAACTTTTATATTGATTTCAATTTTATTTCATTACAAAAATTTAAATTCAAACTTTATTTTATTTAGTGTTTAAAAGTTATGATACTTTTTGTAACCAAATTCTTGCATTAAAATCATATTAACTATGAATTGAATACATTATAAAACTTCATAAATTGCTACTAAATTAAAATTGAGTCCAGAATTGTGCATAAATTCCTGCATTTTATAACTTTTTAATTGGTTTTTATGAGAAAACTGTAACAAATGATTGATTCATACTTTAAGTCCAATCAAAGGCCTATTGCTTTGAGTCCACAAAATAGCCGTCAGTTGGGTTGACCAGTGTATTAAGATTTCCATTAGTTTTACAGTTAATTACAACAACAGCTTTTCGTGTAAGAAATTATTTATTTAAAATTAATTCAATAGCATTTAAAAAAGTGTTTGTTTAGTACTAAACAAAGCTAACAGTAAACGAATACATGAATTAACATTAAAATAACAAAATATACTTAAATCAAGTTCTCATACATTCATAATTAATTCGCTTTCAACACAAATCCAGTTCCCAAACGGCAATTATAATCGCCTTTACATCGCAACAAATTGTCACAAAACAGCAATCCATCAATGATTTAATATCCGTTTTATGAGTTTATTAATTTAGAAATTAATTTACTATAAAATACGAGTCACTGATCGCACACAACGGCTCTATTGGTCGCACATATCGTTTTGATCGAAATATCGGCCGATTATACAGATAATGAGATTCAATGAAATCAAAACATTTGAATCACAATCCGATCCAATCTTATGCCGGCATTCACTGCACACACGACTCAAGTCTCTTAACGTGGAGTACACTTCAGCGGGCAGTGGCTTCTCGAGGGCCACGAGAAGGGCGTATATCCAGAGGCCGAAGTGCTCAGTGAAGCGGTACTGTTGACACCATTTGGCGTAAAAACTCAACAAAACAATCACTTCGTCTTGAGTTAGCGCACAGATGGTACTCATGAGCGGGAGGTTTGATTCGCGTTTGGCCCGCTTTTCGCGCTTAAGAGCTGACGAGTTGTGGGGCGTGTCGGTGGGCGTCGAGAGGTCCGACTCGTCCTCATCGCCACCACCGCCCCCGCGATCGCTGTCCGAATCGCTCGAGTGGTCGCTCCGTTTGCCGATACAGTAGTCTCGCCACCAACTCATCGACCGGTGCCGTACGGGAGGCCTGTCGGCGATGGGGTCGACCGCAGTGCCGGGCGGTCTGTGCGCTCGCATTCGCGCCAAACTTGTCCGCACGTGACTGAACTCAGACACCTGTGCCCTCTGCCAGTCCACCGATGGCGTCGACTCCGGTTTGGCTCTTATGAACCCATTTGACTGTTTTGGTCACCAAATGAATCAATTGATTAGACAATTGTCGCGCAAACACACGGAAAGTACTCAACATTTTCAATGATTAGCGTTTGGTTTGGTGTGAACTGATTGACGTCGAGGTTGGCCACCACTACTTCGGGACACTTCTGGGCCTCCAGTCTATGATAATGAGTGGTAAGACAGTGAGCGATAAGACAATGAGTGGTAATTACGATGACTTACTGGACTCGTCGTAGGTATTCCTCACCGGTAACTGGGGGTCGACTGGGGTCGTAGTGGTCGAAGTTGGCGACCGGAAGTTTGGGCACAAGTATGCGGTCGAGTTGGTCACCGTAATCATCATCACTGGCCTCCTCTTCGTGGTATTCCTCGAAGTCTTCAGTATAGCAGTTCATGTGGTCTTCACGTGGTATTTGTGCTGTCAATGAAAATAGACGTCTAAACACTGTTTGCAAACACTGTTTAAACTCCCAGTGTTTGGGAGTCCACTCCAAACACACACTCCCACTGTTGCACTGAAATCTTATACAGACTCCCAGTTGTACTGCAGTCCGGAGTTTTGTATGCAATGCTATGTTGAGTATAGTTACCCTCAAATAGTGAGAGCGCATGCGCGGGGCGTAAGTTGTTTACAAATATTGCAAACCTCTGGTTATGTCAACGACTTGTTTTCGGTGATAATCACCACCTGTTCCCTGAAGATTAAGCCACAGACACACCGAAGACATCTCTTTTCACTCGACAATGGCCTCACTGTTTGAACAGTACGAACAGTTCGCATCCCTGTCCTCACGAGGTCTGGCACTGGACTCCGACAGAAATCAGGTGATTATGGTTTTGAGTGATAATTTGGTGACCAATTGGTCTCATGCGGTGATTAATTGCAGGACAACTCCATCATCAATATGTGCAGTGATAGCGAAGAACCCATTTTTAGCAAACATAAGCTCGACTTCTCGTGAGTGTCACTCAATCTGATCCCATAATTAGCCATACATTACAATGCTTTTGTGTCACCGACAGACCCGTCGATAAGATCACACATTTGGCGGTCAGTAATAATCATGTGGTGATGGCTCTGAAGAATAGGACAATCTTGAGAATGGATCTCATGCACGGACACCAAACTAATGGTATTCTTCGTGTGATCATCAGTTGATTAATTGGTGTAATAATTACCGACCATTTGATGTGTCAAACAGATATCGATTTGACGCCATTTATCTCAGATAAGAGCCATTCTTCGCGAGTGAATAACCTCTTTGTGGACCCGACGGGCAAACACTGTATCATAAGTGTGACGAACAGCGAGACTCAGGTGTCGGCAGAAAATCTGTATTTATCTAAAAAATGTGTCCAAACATCGAAAA